GGGGGGGGCAGGAATTCTGTGAGTGGGTGTGTGGTTAGGTCCCCAGCCAAGGGCAAACCCATCACATAATGGTAACATAGGCCTCCATGATTTAAATGCATTAAAGAAGAAAGAACTGAGGGAAACTGTAAGGCATCTGTACTGATCTATGGATACTTTTCTATTGAAGCAGCCTTTTCGTACTTGTGAAAAGGCTGCTGTCTACTGAGATGAAATTAGGGAGCAGAGTGGGACCTTACAACATCTGTTTTCATGTGTTGGCTCTTGCTATCTCACAGGTGTGTCTGAGGAGACTATTTAGCATGTATTCATTGTCTGGGTGGAGGCAGTGGACAACCTTTCACTGGGGGAGACCCAGAGCAAGAGTTTCTGAGAGCACTTGGTGGAAAGTGTAAAATATAGGAGACATCTCTGGCAGAATAAGATGGAGTCTGATTTCAATCAAGTCAGAAGATGGAAAGCTTCATGTCAGTCTAGAGGCTGTCTTGTGGCTTGAGCTGAGCTTAGGTTTGTTGAGTCTAAAATCTGACACATATCTGCAATGTTTAATACATCCTGGGTTCAGGAAAAAGCTCTTAATTTAACAGGTATGGACTGATTCAGCATCACTGCTGAAGAGAGGCAGAAAATGACTGGTCATACTATGTGTGGCTTAAGTCTCATGAGGCCAGAAGTGCCCAAGATTTACCTCACTCTCTGACACAAGTCAGAAATCTAGTTGAAGAGAATGATCCAAACATAGGAGCAATAACTTGACAGTTACAGGTAGCCCATGCTGTCAAGTTTTTAAGACTTCTGTGATTCTGTGAATAGATCCCAAGTGGTCTGTTATAAAAACACACAAAAAAACTTCCTGACTAATGTGGGAAGATATGTTACAGTTAGAAAACATAAAACAATATGCTGCTCAAATGCAGAGATAATGACACCTCTATAATTTTGCCTTTTATTAAAACATAGCTAAGACATTTGATTGAATGCGTGACTTCAAAACCAGAACCAACAGAAAATGGGCCCGATTTAACATACATTAAGAGGACACATTTTCCCTCAATAACCTAATCACAATCTGGTTAACACAGCGGAGGGGTGGATTGTGAGCCCCCTCATTTTAATAGTACAATGAAGAACTGGACTCTGTCGTAGCTACACCCAGAAAAAGACAGATTTTTAAATGGATAACATTTATCCAGCAGATGTTTCTCCCCCATTCTTATGCCATAACCTATGTTTATCCTACTGTAAAAATCAGATAAGGTGGGAGAAGTGAGAGAAGTTAAAGCAAAATCACCCTCCTTTACAAAAGAGATGATATCTTACTTCCTCCTCTATTTCCTCCTCTAAGAATGGAGTCTGCAGAAGTTTTTCTATGTTATCTAGTTAGACATTAAACTCTTCAGAGCAGGGTCTGTTCCTTTTTAAGCATTTGAACAAGAGCTGTCCACAGTCTTTGTTGTGACCTTTTTGGTATGGCTGTAATGAAGAACAATGCCAACAGAAGAGGAAATATGACTGTGCTAAACTATCTTGACTATGTTTGTGGTGACAGTGTTTATCATAAAAACCTTGTGCATACAAATCTCTCATTCATAGAATCATTCTAAGATGAATATAAGGATTTTCAGTCTCTAGAAATAAAGGCATAGCATGGTTTATGCTATGGTTTTATAACATATGTTTTAAATGCTCCTTTCTCATTACAGAATAGACATTTTTTTTCTGACATATTTCATTTGTTAAAAGTGGTTTGCAACCAGTTCCACAGAGCTCTGGATGCCACACTGCTTATATGACTCCACATCTGTTTAATTTAATGAATAGTTTCCTTGGAATGGGACATAAGCCAAGATGATGATGCTGACAACCACTATTCAATGAACAGGAATCACTAAAAGAAACAATAGGACAGCACTTATGAGTAAATAACTCGATTTAAATGGATTGCTGATTAATTTGTTCAACACTGAAAACATTTATGCTTTCATTTACAATCACTGAATTTCAAATCTCTTCTGAAAACAAGCATTACGTTTGGAATACTTCCATACAGTGACTGCTTTAGTGTTTATTTTATTGGATCTGATCTGATATAACAACATTAGGACTGTAGCAGAGTGAAAAGATCTCCTGCAGAAACCTTAAATTCCACTTGAGAGAAGGCAAGTAGTTATGTATACTAACATGTGGAAAGCTGGGGAGGTGCTTTTTACAAGGACATGTAGCAACAGGATGAGGGGTAATGGATTTAAACTGGAAGACGGAAGATTTAAATTAAATATAAGAAAGAAATTCTTTACTGTGAGGGTGGTGAGACACTGGAACAAGTTGCCCAGAGAAGTTGTGGATGCCCCATCCCTGGAGGTGTTCAAGGCCAGGCTGGATGAGGCTTTGAGCAACCTGGTCTAGTGGAGGGTGTCCCTGCCCGTGGCAGGGGGGTTGGAACTAGATGATCTCTAAGGTTCCTTCCAACCCAAAACATCCTATGATTCTATGTTTCTATGTATTTCTACTTACTCACAAACTGCAGGGAAGGACAAACCCACAAAGGCACTAGACAGATATTCTGTATACATTTCATTTGCAACTCCTTCCAGGTAGTATTTCTGCCACGTATCCTCCTCAATCTAAAACAAAGAAATACAGATGCAAAATTCTGAGTAAAACCAAACACTTTCTTTAAAATTTACAAGCAACTGCTTAAACATGAACCAGATTTCAACAAATAAGTCAGTAGACTGTTATGGCAATTAATATTGCATATTTTTACAGGATTTCCTGGAATGCCCCCCCCCCCCCAAAAGAATCTATGTAGTCAGTAAATCAACTATAATTGATAAAGCCTATTCAGCATGAGGTGAAATAAAATTGTAGAGATCTTGAGGAAAAAAGTTTCTTAATTTTATCTTTCTGAAAATTCTGTGGTGAAATGTTGCATTATACTGTCTATGTTTAATAATGTTTCAATTATTTTCACCTTGTTGATCAGCAGTCAAAATTAATCCTTTAGAATTATAATTTTTTCTTCTCTGCATCTACAACTAACAAGGAAATATGAGAAACATACTGAAGCAATTTCTTCAATGGTCATCTATGCTTTACAACAATAACTGAAGAAAACCTGCTAAATTCAGAGATCTTTTACTGTTGAAGGTATGAGGAAAAACAAGTCAGAGGTGCTACAGGACTACCACCAAAAGCTTGATCTTTTTGCTTAAGCAGAAGTTTCTAGTGATATTTGAGATGTGCATGCAATCCCACCTAGCTTCCAGCTGCGTCTGTGGATGCCATGTCATATTGATAAGGTTTATGCCTCAGACACTTCATAAGATCTTTCAACTAGCTTCAAACACCTATATGAAGGTAACTGGATCAAGCCACTTAGTATCCATTCAGGAATAGCACTATAATTCAGAAGAGCACATACAAAGCTTGCTGATATGACTGGAAATATGGCATACACAGCAGCTGTTCACCGTTGAAATCCCAGTTCTCTATACAGTAATTTGTGTCCTCATCCAAAGTTTGTTTGAGATTTGACTGTCATTCCCAATGAGACCTTTGTAGGCAAACTAGGGAAACCAGCACAAAAACACAGCCTGAAATAAGGCCTCACACATCAAACAGCTACTTCTGTATTTACTACGTAACATTAAAGGCGTGCAAAAATTTCAACCACAATGGCACATTCTTGCGTGTAATTATCTGTTTGTCTTTATTCACTAATTGTTCTATATAAACTGGGTAAAGAGAAAAATTTGTATTTTCAAGAATTATATAAAGCACCAAAATGTATGCATGATAATACAGTATATATAAAATCAGCAAGAAACATATAAATTACATTAAACTAGTAAAAATAAGGTGATATATATTTTTTTTAACATTTTACATTACCACATTTTCCTTAACTAGAGTCAATCTGATGAGATAGCAAACAAGAAACAAGTAAAGAGATAGAGATTGAGAGATCAGAGATTTTAACTTTAATAAGTCACATGACTTTGGAGATCATTGAAATATTTATCTTGTAATTTAGTTCATGTCTAAAAGCCACATTTTATTCATTGCAAAAAAATAAAGAAACTATCAGTTCCACTGTTTAGGTAGCCCCATTATGGTCATCATCTTACAGAGCAGAAAGTGAGACAGTATTTAGTTTAGATGTGAAGGCCATAATGAGAAAGTAGGTTTTTTTAAACTATTAGTAGAGATTGGCAAAGCTACCTGAAAGGTTGAAGTACCAAATACCAACGGATTTGAGAAGGACTTGGATAACTACATATCTCTTAACCATTTCACAATTTCATAGAATCATAGAATAGTTTGAATTGGAAGGGACCATGGAAGTCATCTAGTCCAACCACCCTGCAGTAAGCAGGGACATCTTATACTAGATTCCACTAAATTTGTCTTTTTCTGATATCCCCAGCTTTTCCCGAAACTCAGTCTACATTGTGTAAAGGGATGATGATACTAATCCTGCAGGAAACAGAGCTGTATCCAGACCCACTGAGGTTGCAAAAAGGATGCTTCAGGAACATCCATCCTGCAGGTAAGGCTCAAGTGCTTTTATCTATACTGCTGATTTTGCTTGTCTGAAGTCCCAGAACCAGTCTAATGGCAACCAGCTAAGTATGAGCAAGAATTTTTTTCCCCATTACACAGACAAATCTCAGCATATCAGAAATTCTCATCAAAGAATGCAGTCCAGTAAGATAAAAAACTTATTACTGCTTTAAAATTTTGTGCAGCTACATTACTGCCCACTATGTCAAATGCCTTGGAAAACATCCAGTCAATTATTTTAATGGTATGAACTGCCTTATGGCAGCAACACAGAGGCCTGTATATTCTTTATGGTAAAAGCATTATGGTATGTTATTAGGCGTGTGGGGTTTGTTATGAACATATATTCCAAACAGCAATATAATGCACATCTCCGTCAGTATTCAAGAAAAGAAATTAATAGATGGGATGTAAGTGACCTGGGTAAAGGTATCCAAAATACTTTTTCAGCTATTCAATAATAAATCAAATAGAGAAAAGCATCTTTAAGCAACAATTTATCTTTGTTGTGTCAAACTACAGCTGTTTCAAAACAGCATTACAGTAAGAGGTTCTTGTACTACATGCATGGCTTGAAGGAAATCTTACAGTGTAAATTCAACAAGGATAAAAAAATCAAGATGGGAAAAAACAAGGCACATACTCTAATCACCAGACAGTTCAGATCTGTGACCAATAACATGCTCCATGCATTTATAATGTATCCAGCAACTGGCTTTCTGCCTCATTTAAAAATGAACTCATGCCTACATAGACATAATTTAAGACTTTTTTCTGGATATTAATTCTATTTTTTTCTTTAACTGGTTTATGTTGTTGTTCCATTAACTGTACTTCTTATCAATCTACCCTAAATTATGCTTCTAAACAAGGTATAATTAGATGGCAACATTAATGTGTTTAACAAAAAATTTAAGCTAAGTAACATATTTTTAATTTTAAGTTAAATCTTTATGAACTTTTAAAATCTTATATGCTTCAGGGAAAAAAATTATATGAGCATGAGCTGTAAAAGTAAACTACATTTTAAAAACAAAAGTTATAATGGTTATGGAGTCCTATTCATTCCCCAAGAGTCTAAAATAGAATTTTCTTGCTCCTTCTTACACATTTTTCCTAAACACTTAGTATTTTCTAAAAAGTTTTAGGTTATAGTTGTGTATTCCATATTCTTACCACAGATCCAAATCATGAAGCACACAAAACCCCAGAAAATAACTCTATAGAAATGCAGTGATGTTCCTCTTCTTGCTCCTTTCTTTGCTCTACTGGAGAGATGTCCTCATCCCCACTTCCCCTGCCTGCAGTTCCATAAGTCTCTGCCCTTGACTCTGCCTCTTTGTTTCTCTTCTCTACCAAACCATTACCTAACATCAGCCACAACGTGAACAGAACTGTTTCTTTAGGCTCATGTCCTGTATATCTTGCTTTCTATTTCCCTCTTAACTCCTTTATCCAAATGGAAATGTCAGCCTGCCTAACTGACATGTACTAGAGGATGCACAGCCATGAACTGGCAGTGTTTCCACTGACACAGTTCTTTATTTTATATCCCCATCAACGGTGTTTCCTCCTCCTTTTTCAAGCTCCTCTTCTAGGCTCATAACATGGTTATCTTTGCCTGCTTCAACCTCGTCACTTATTATATGCTTAAATCATACAGACCTCTTGTCTTCCCACTAATAGGGATAACCAGTGAAAAAAATGTCTAAACCATGTTAAAAAAGCTTTACCTTTAAAAGCTTTAAGAGACATCAAGACCAATTCCATGTCAACCTAGCATTTTATGGATAGCTAGTACCAAAAGAGTGAGGTATTCAGTTCTGTCATACACACTAAGCTCAGAGAGCAAAACCAGGATTATATTACTCATTACCAGGAAACAAAGCAACAGCCACAATAAAAGACTTCAGAAAGAGAATTACAGCTGAGCCTCTGTGATTGCAGAAGCACATGTCACGAGTGTTGTGTCCTAGAAGCATATGTAAGAGCTAAAGCTCTGCTAACTGTCTAACTTAAAGAAGCATTTT